ATTTTTTTTCTAAATACAAAATATTATCAATTATTGTAATTTCTACATTTCTACAAAATGTCAGAATATGTTTATACGTGTCTATATGATATAAATGTATATATAAGTATATAGACTCATATCTAGGACCTAGGATATTTTTATTATTATTAATATTTAGTTGTTTACACAAAATATAATATGGGAATTACCCCACTTGATGATCGAGAATTTTCAATAACAATCAGCTCTACACTTTCCCAGAACATTGGCCCATACGGGCCCATATTGGCCAATGGTATATTTTTTAATAATACGTAGCTCAAGCAGACCAGCCCCAGGTCATTATTTGTTGGAAAACTTGAAACATTGATTGCTTATTATTTGTCATAACTCATAATAAACTGTAGCCCCACCTGATGTTACATGAAAAGTAATGATGTCCCCACACCCCCATATTATATATTCACATAAGACCATAAAAAGTGGATGTCGCTCTGCTGCACAGTAGGTTACAAGTTGGTAACTGTATAATGGGTTGTTTTAAATTTGAATTCAATGATATCATATCATTGTATACGAAAATGTGAGTGCCTTTGTACTCACGAATGATGTGTAAACATCTTAGCTGTAGTACGACTTTGATTGGGGAATATAATGTCATGGTTTGAGTGGGAATTTGTATAATACATATTATACGATACAAACACGGTTTCGCGCGTATACTGTGGTATCACCCGTATTGGATAATACGCGGTAAACCAACTTTATACCTTACCCTCGTACGCTCTAGGCTAATGACTGTCTCTAGAATATATTCAGATTAGCACTGTTAACCTTTGAGGTACGATGGTAGCGTTTTGTCAGTTCTTCGTTCGTTTCCTAAATTGGAATGACTATTAGGACGCCACAACCAAAGCCCTGTTCAGTTTGTAATAAACCTCATTGACTATAGGTGTGTGGGTCTGAGCACTGTTCCAATATTAAAGGTAAGAACGAAGAAGACTTTGAAATAAAACTCAACTCGGGTTTTTAGGTCGGAAACACTTTTATTATATTAAAACAAACATAAATGAAAAACTTAGCAAATCTGGATTGCCTAGCCCGTACTACGATCGACGTTTTACACGTACGACCACAGTACCTACGTCCTCGCCGATTCACTCAGCGACAACGGGACTCTCCCTGTGCCTGCGCGTGCGGCGGTGTTATATAGTAATGTCATCGCTGTCTCAGCACATATGCTTCACTGACCTATGTTAATAGTTTACAATTTAAAATGTTCCCACCTCTATTACATATATGAAATAATATTTTGACGACTGTCTACAATATAGGACAATACGTATACGAGAATAATAAATAATATTAATAATAATAATGAATCGTCCGACGACTGTACCAGAGCGCGTTCGCACCTACCAGACTCGTGAAAATAACAAAGAAAATAATAGATAAGCAACTCGCCTGGTTTATTGGTTCTGCGATTTTGGCTGCAACTTGTTAGAGCACATTTTATAATTTTTACCTGAAAAATCGGAACTCATTTGCGCACACGGTTATCCTAAATGTACAACTGGTTTGCGCACACGAAAATAAGGCTATATGCCTATATGACATAAGCGCCAAAGGGGCAAAAATGCAAGGCTGGGCAATAACGAGTTAAAAAGTTAATATAAAATTAACTTATTAACTTAACTAGTTACTTTTGGCTTTTAATTAACTTAACTGTTAACTGTTAAAAATGACATATCATTTGCGCCAAAATAAATATTTTATATAAGTAGTTTTTCTAAATTGATATATCTTATAAAAATGATATTTTATATGTATACTATATTATACTAATATTATTTTATATAAATAGTTATTTGAAAATTGCTGTCTTATAAGAATATTTTTATATAGAATATTAGAATATAGAATAGTTTCTATATTTTTGCTCTTTAAACAAAATACACACAACACCTTTATTCGTAACAGTTTTTGTAAAATCCATTTAAACGAATGCTTACGATTAGGCACTATAACAATATGTTACAACACAAAACTGCTCACATACGACTGTCTATGTGACAATCTATCGTAATCAGATTATACATTTGTCGATTAAGATTAAACGTTTGGAGTATGAACTTGGAGTATGAGTTTATGTACGATACGAACTATTACTTATTAAGAGGGTATTAAAAGGTAACTGTGCGCAAACTATGTGCCTGTTTACGGCTCAACTGTTCCCAAACGAGTGGTAGTTTTGTACCCAAAAAAGTTGTCTTTTTGGTATTGTGCACACACACACACACACACACACACACATACTCAAGCAGTCACATCTACATGACTTACGCCTGACGCTCGATTCCCCAAGACCGTCGTACTACAAACCGAAAGCATAGATGTTTACACATCAAAAAATTAAACAAAAGAAAATTTTAACTACCCTAATTTCATTTTTTACAATAATAGTATACTATATACAGCTGTGGTAAACAAAATAAAATCGCCGTGACTATATAATATTAGTTTATATTACTCTCAAAAGCGTCGTGAAAATAATTGAGCAAATATTTTTTAAACACTATAATTAGTATAAATATCACATTAATAATATTTAATTACAAATATAATATACATGTAGCAATTTCCTTATTTTGTTGTAATTCAAAAACGAATAACTGAAGATACATGAAAATTTCACTGAATATTTATATTAACATTTACTATACACCATACAACTTTGAAAATATAAGTACCTAATGGTTATTGTGATATGATTCATTTGGAATTCATTATAGGTCAATTTTTTTTTAATACCATAGATAAGTAAATAATATGTCTTATACCTAGACTGACATGTATCTACAGTTATTCGTTTTTGAATTACAACAAAATAAGGAAATTGCTACATGAGAAATCGAGTGAATATCCAATGTTGTAAAAATTTGAATTTCAAACGCTCATCAAAATTTAATTCTAATAGACATTTTTTTTTTGGTAAAGGTAGATAATCTTATAAGGAATCTTGTATTACATTTTAAAACCTTAGATTTAAACAGAAATTTTTTTACGCATATTCACATTACAAAAATTTTTCTAATTTTCGTGATTTTTCCATATTTTGTCAATTTTTGAACTTTAAATGCTTATAAAAAAAATGTGACTAGTAGGAGCCTTGTATTAAATTGACAAGCTTTTTTAAAAAATAAATAAAATTTTATTGATATTTTTAGAAAAAAAAACTAAAAAAAAATGAAAAATGAAAATGTGCCTAAACAGTTAAAAAACAGTGTTTATAAATAACGGCGCTTGTGAAAACTATTGGGAATTTTAATATTTGATCTCCTGAATGCACCAACTATATTCACTTTCCAATCGAACAAGATACTGAAGTAGAAATTGAAGCATTATTTCGACTACTTATCGTGTACACAGACACAAAAAAAAAAAAAAATAAATCATTGTAAAATCAATACATTCATCGTTCCACTCAGAATCTAAAATTGTAAATATTTTAGGACCCCTGAAAATTAAATTTTGAACAGTTCCAGTTTTCCGCGTTTTTTTATTTATTTTGTTATAAATTGTATTTACGTACCATTGTACCAATATTCCGAGCATCGAATTGAGTGCGTAAAACTTTACCTAGCATGACCGAACAGTAGATAAGTTGTGTTATCTAAATAAAGTGATTAATGCTCAGTATTAATATTGAGTGTTTATCTATTCTAAATTGTAATTTGCTATTTGTATAATAGTTAACGGTGAAAAGTTAACACAATTCGGAATTAACCTTTTAGGTTCTGAGCGGAGTAATACATCATTATCAATTTATTATAATACAATATAATATTACGATATTGTACATAATATTAAACTTAAAGAGATTTATGTTAATATTTCGTTAAAATTTAAATGTCTGCAGTGTTTAAAATATTTATAGTAATCGAACTGTATTGTTGTACTACTCTATGAGTGTCTAGAAGTTCTATTGAGTATAATATTATAGGTAATGTTCATGTTACAAGATAGGGTACAAACTACAAACGTTATCGATTATGAAGTTAAGCCACGGATAAAATACGCATTATAGCTGTCATAAAACGTATTATACCTAATTAAACGATAAACGTATAATATATAGGTTATCGCATCGATATGTATAAAGGTAGTACATATAGAAGGTATATAAAACAAATTGCCGCAGTTTGTATAATGTATCTTATCGGTTTTGTCGCAGTTTGTATAATGTAAAATTTTTTTTTGCCACAGTTTACATATCAACTTTTAGAAAAAGGTTAATTTTGCAGCAGTTTACCATCTCCCATCTGTGAGTACCAAAATTATTATTTTATTGTAATTCCAAAACTTTTGTGCATCAGCCCGTACTATTATAGTTACTATTTATTGTTATTCTCAACTGTTGTACACCAGGGCGTATTAATTATTAATTCGTTGTTATTTGTGAATCTGTTGTCAATCAGTACACAATTATTATTATATAAAACCAATATCTATATTGAATTGTAATAAAAACAAAGAGGTGTAATTACCATGTTTGCATTAGAGTATTACACATTGTTATTAGACTTACATGTATTTACGAATAAGTAATTACGGGACGAATACTAAAATGTACACATAACATAGACAGCCGGGACCGTGTAATATCATTGGGCTCTCCCGGCCCCCACATGTATTTAATTTTAAAGATAATTTTCGTTCAGATAATTTAACTCATCTGTTAAAGTTCTATGAGTATTTTATTTGTATACTTAATTAAATAAATGAGATATAAATTATATTAAATTATACTAGAACTCGGAAACTATTAAAAAAAAAAATAAATAGTGCATAAATCGGAGTATTTCAATAAGACGTAATAATTAATAACTAATAACTTACAACTGCATGGTGAATTTTAAAATAAATTGAAGTTTAGTCTCAAAAAATATTGTAAAACCTCATTACACTCATTACAGTAACACAGTACACAAGACCCGGCGTCACGGAAAAAGACCACGATGGCTTCGCGTATCGGCGCTCTTTTGATCGCTTTTGGCGTATTCCAAGCGCTGTTATCTCCGCAACCGATGGCCGGTGCCGCGAATATCTTGGCAGTACATACGATCGCGGGAAAGAGCCACTGGAACATAATGCGGACCTTTCTGCAGGTGTTGACTGACCGCGGTCACACCGTGACCGTATTCACACCGTTCGCGGACGGCGACAGGGACGGTTACACGGTGGTGGACGTTTCCGGTGACATGGAATCGAGGGTTAACTTGAACGTGTCGCGAATTCCCAGGTCCACGAGCCCAATGATTGCGTACCTCGTGAACGTCTTGCGAGTCAACTGTGGAACCATATTCGAACACCCACGAATGCAAGAAATGTTGGAAGGCCGATCGCGACCATTCGACTTGGTGATTGCCGAGGCCTTATTGTTGGATTGTGTGTCATACGCGGCTACCGTTCTCCGCGTTCCCGTCATATATGTCGTCCCTTCGCCAATCGTCACCTACTCGGAGCGTTCGTTCTTCGGCCACGTCCCCAACCCCGCAGCCGTCTCCAACTTGTTGTCAACACGCGGCGTGCCAAAGACGTTCGGTGAACGTTTCACTAATACACTGAGTATGATTTCCGATTCGTGGCTATCTTGGAACAACGAACGGAGGCTCCGGAACTCCGACCCGCGACCGTTCGACGCTATAGACCTGGTCAGACCGTCGTTGACTTTCACCAACACGCACTTCATCACCGAACCTTCTAGGCCACTGACACCGGACATCGTACAAATCGGCGGCATACATCTAACTCCACCAGGACCGATACCAAAGGTAACCAATATAATAACATTAGGTATATAATAATTAGTAAAATTGGTTATTTGTGGCAGACAGTTTTTAAAGAGTTAAAAATAGGTTATTTGAAATAGTATGTATGCGGGTCTTGTAAATATGTGTGAAAACGCATAGTAATGGTGAACATTACCCATCAGTGTGTGTGAACGCTCCCGCATGAATAATAGTCTTCTACTCGGCATTGAGGGAGTTCACGGTTAACAATTTATGCTCATTTTTATGTACTTTTACGAGTTACGACCTATAACAATCAATGGCACCACTAGAGGGGTGCAAGGGGGATCTGAATTCGTTATAATGTCTGCTTGAGAGTTGAGATCGATCATTACACATTTTAAGATTTTTTATTTTCATTCCAAATAATCCGTCTTTCGAAAATTCCTAAATGTTCAAATATTTTAACCATGGCTTGAAACCGTAAATATTTTTCCCGCTTTTGGTTTCGGTTATCGGTATTTATTTTTTCCGATTTTGATTTTGGTTTTGGAAATCGATATTTATTTTTTCTGATTTCGTTTTTCGTTTTGAATACCGGTTTTTATATTTTTCGATTTCGATTTTCATTACCGGTATTGTTTTTTTTCGATTTTATATTAGGTTTCGGTATCGATTTCGGTTTTTAATGGTTTAAATTGGTATCCAATATCGGTTTGAAGTCCTGCATGGCTGCATTATTATTATATTATTATAATGACCATTGCTTGAAACCGAAAATATATTTCCCGATTTCAATTTCGGTTTCAGATATCGGTATTTATTTTTTCAGATTTTGACTTTGGTTTCGGATATCGGTATTTATTTTCTCTGATTTCGTTTTTGGTTTTGAATACCAGTTTTGAATTTTTCCGATTTCGATTTCAGTTTTGATTACTGGTATTGGTTTTTTCGGTTTTGTTTTCGGTTTCGGTATAGGTATCGATTTCGGTTTTTAACTGTTTTAACCTCTATTCAAAATCGGTATTAAATATCGGTTATTTAATATTTATCAACTGCTATTTTAACAACTTATAAGGAACCTTGTGATAAATTTTAAAGCTTTTTCACACAACGAATACATTTTTATTAAAATTTATATAATAAAAAACTAAAAAAATTGAATATATCGTATATACTTACTCTATGTATATTAAATAAATATTTTTTTAACATTTTTGAGATTAATATCGGATAACTGTAAATAATATCATGATATACGCAAGCTTGGGCCAGTTAATGATAATTTTTAACTGAGTTAAGTTAAGTTGATAAAAACCTTTTTTAAATTTTAGATTTTGAGTGGAACGATGAATGTATATTGATTTTACGATGATGTGTGTTTTTTTTTTTAAATTTTTCTTTGTGTCTGTGTACACGATAAGTAGTCTAAATAATGCTTCGAATTTCAACTTCAGTATCTTGTTCAATTGGAAAGTGAATATCGTTGGTACATTGGGGAGGTCAACATTTTAAATTCCCAGTAATTTTCAAAAGCGCTCAGAAAAACAAAAGAAAAATTAATGAAAAACGGGAATTTTTACCCAAAATAGATTTTTCACAAAATTGAATTTGGTTTTTGGTGTAACTTTAAAACGAATGACCGTAGATACATGAAATTTTCACTGGATGTTTATATTTGCATTTTCTATACACGATAACATTTTAAAAATATTTTGATTTATATTTAACTGTTTAGGGACATTTTCATTATCCATTTTTTTTAGTTTTTATTCTAAAAATATCAATAAAATTGTATTTGTTGGTTTCGAAAGCTTGAACTTTTAATAGAAGGCTCCTAGTATATTTTTTCAAAGGCAGATGAAAAATATTAAAAATTCTAAGATACATTTTTTTTTTATAAGCATTTCAACTTCAAAAATTAACCAAATTCCTTAAAATGACGAATATTTGCGAATTATTTTGAGTTAGAAATTAATAAAAATTGTCTTTTTATATCTAAGATTTAAAAATGTAATACAAGATTCCTAATAAGTTCGTCTACCTTCATCAAAAAAAAAAAAAAATATCTACACAAAACTCAATTTACATTTTTATGAGCGTTTGAAATTCATATTTTTACAAAATTTTTTATATTCACTCGATTTCTCATGTAACGATTTCCTTATTTTATTGTAATTAAAAAACGAATGACTGTAGATGCTTAAAAATTTCACTGAATGTTTATATTAGCATTTTCTATACACCATACAATTTTGAAAATAACTTAACTATTTTTTAGCAGTTTACAGATATTGTCAGTTTTCAATTTTTTTATTTTTTTTTCTCTAAATATCAATAAAATTGTATTTGTTCGGTAAAAAAGCGTGAAAATATAATGCGAGGCTCCTGATTAATTGTTAAAATACAGTTGAAAAATTTTAAAAATACATAGTCACACATTTTTGTTATAAGCATTTAAATTTAAAATGTTGACAATATTTATCACATTTATAATTTAATAATAATTTTTTGGTTAAAAATGTATAACATAAATATAACATTTAAAATATAAATATTTCTTCAACTTTTATCTAAGGATTGAAAATTTAAAACAAGATTTCACGTAAATAGGTTATAAATAAATTACTTTATTCACCTTAATATCATCAAATATACTTCGTAATATCATAGTCTGACTGACCGTTTTCGATCAGAATCGTTTTTCCTATACAATGATACTATGTCATTGAATTCAAATTAAACACCATCTATTACAAAGACCCACTCGTAGCCTACTGTACAGCAGAACGACTTCCACTTACCCACCTTTTTTTCTTGTTATTTAAACGTAGTTATATTAATCATATTGACATATTTTTTAATCTAATAACTGAAATTAGGTACACGTATCAACGTATCACATATTACTACGCATTGCCGAAAAATAATGTTGACTAAATAGGTATGGTCAGTAAGTATACCTGTAACCTGTTATATTATGATTATCTTGTATAGTAAGTACCAATGACCAATGTAACGTGTATCGGCATTATCACTTTTTTTTCACGATTTTGAACATTGGCAGCATGCAATAATCAAAAACTTTTACTTTTATCTTAATTATCTGGTCATACTTATATTGTTTATGTGACGACAGCAAAACAAATGTAAAAAGAATTTTAATTTAATTTTTTCTATGCGTTGACAAAAACAAATAATTTACAAACGTTTAACGTCTTAACAATGACATTTTATTGCGTACCTACGTACGGTGCAGGGCACGTGCTGATCTCGGCCGACAACTGCTATAATATAAGCGTGCGAGTATAAAAGGTGGTCGATTTAGGGTACCTGTCTACAAACGGAAGCCTTTCGGAAATCGACCCTTTTGTAAAAGGGATAAACGGTAGCCGAATGGGCTAATAACTGTGTTATTGTTATCCTGATACATGATACTAAACAATTTAATTTAATATAGTACACGCTATTTATTATCACGGTATAGAATATTATATTATATTAGTATACTCAATATCGTTTGATTGTATATTCCCATTACCGTCGTTATTGTCCAACCAGGGATACGTATGTAACTTAAGATTGTGCAATAGTAAAAGTGTTACGTTTACAAAGCTCCAAAGATGGCGCCTCGCGGCTGGACATAACCACTCGCATTATCTCCGTGGCGGACCTACCCGGCGTACTCGCAGGAGAGTCGCATTATTATTTCACGAACGGTCCATACAATATTGGAATTGACCATTGAGTAAATTGTCATTTATCACCCATGTATTTCTAATGCGGGTACCATTACGCCTCGCCCTCGATCCTCTGTAGACTTACTTTTTAATGAAAGCTCCTGTTTACTTAAATATGTGTATCAATATATAAATTACAACAACAAATATTGTAACAACAATAATAACTATTGTATATTTATGCTCAACTTTTTTTTAATTTCCACTAGGTAACAAAAATTAAATTATGAAGACCCATGTATTACGATTTCAAGTTTTTCAACCGAATGAAAAACTTTTTAACGACAACAATAAATTAAAAAAAATAAATAAAACTCGAAATTTTCTTATGGTTATAATTTATAAAAAGATCAAAAAGCATCAAAATATTTCGAAAAAGTTATGGGGCATAAAAATTGGTAATATAAAACATTCTGTGAAAATTTGATGCTTATACCGTTTTTTTTTTTTTAAAAATTTTGTTAAAAACTGGTATTGTGTAAAAATCTCAATATTCCTTAATTTGTTGTTTGTTTTTCCTAACTATTCCTGATTACTTTTGATAACCCGAAGTACAGAACTAGATTCAATTTCCAACCAAAAAAGATGTTGTAGAAGAAAATTGAAGCATTTTTATTGTGCCTTTATTATACCTTTTAGTGACTATAGACACAAAAAATAAATTATTAATAAAAAAAGAACACATTATTCCACTCAGAATCTAAAATAAATTAAGATTTTTTTATTCAATTTACTATCTACTTTATACTATAATTGCATGTAAGAATGGTCAATCAGACATAGCTTTGTATTTTTAAATTCAAATATTTATGCGTAGTTCATACTTCGTACTGAATATAATAACTAATAAGCAATAATTTAACGATTAACTGCAACACGACAAATAATAACTAATAATATTTTAGTGATTATTTTTTTTCAGTCAATACTCAGCTATATTGTATACCTACTGTATAGCAACAGATGAAATGAAACGAATAAAATATAGAAATTATCTTATCTCCACTAGATTGGTATAAACATTAATAATTAATGATTCCTTATTAATATTTAATATTTATAATTCATAATACATATAATGTTCTGAGCTAAGTTTACATTTGCCCAATTTTATTGTACTGTTTATAGTTTATTTGAAACATTGAAAATGCAACAATTTCTACATTCAATATTATAATATATTATTTAGGTACTACCTAGTATTTCCATTTGTATAGAAACCGGTTGGATTATTAAATATATTGTTTTCATTAATTTAGGGTCATTAGTCATTACCCACTATACACACTGAGAGCCATGACCACCCACCCAACTATAAGGTGTATCAACGGATACACCTTCAGTATAGGATAGCTGCCAATGCCTCCAAAAAAATATTTATGTAATGTAAACTGAACCAGCGATATAACATGTATTTACATTTTGAAGAGTTAAATAATTGTGCGATCGGTTTGTTTGTTAACAGGACGTTTTGGAATTCATTGACGACGCACCTAACGGAGTGATTTACTTCACGTTTGGTACGGTGATTTCGATGGCATCGTTACCGGAAAATGTACTGAAAGTGTTAAAAGAGGCAATCGCTCAGGTTCCGCAAAAGGTTTTGTGGAAATACGATGGTGAAATGAAAGACAAACCAAAGAACGTGATGACTCGTAAATGGTTTCCGCAACGTGACATACTTTGTACGTGCCATTATGTGGTAATTTTGAGATATACACTATACACACACACATATATAGCTTGCTTAAAGTTATACTGAACTATAATGATATTAATTGTAATCTGACATTATTATATTTATCATGTAGTGCATCCTAATGTGAAATTGTTTATCAGTCATGGAGGTATATCTGGAGTATACGAAGCTGTAGACGCAGGTGTGCCTTTACTCGGATTTCCGATTTACTTCGATCAACCGAGAAATATTGACAATCTGGTCGACGCCGGAATGGCGATCTCTATGGATCTTTTTTCCGTAACTAAAGACACGTTTTTTAACGCCATTTTGGAGATTGTCAACAACGACAGGTGATACATTTTATTTCAATTAAATTCTATAAAAGTTTGAACATTACTCGGCACCGTTCCCGTAGGTACCAACAGAACGCTAAAATTGCTTCCGATCGGTTCAAAGACCGGCCCATGTCACCAGCGCAGTCGGTAGTGTACTGGACTGAGTACGTTTTGCGTCATAACGGAGCACCACATTTAAAATCTCACGCTCTGAATCTGAAGTGGTATCAATATTTTTTAGTTGATATAATTAGCACATTTTTGTTCATTGGGTTTGTCCTTTTTTTCATAATTTATTATGGCCTAAAAATGATTTGTAAACACATTTATACATTTTTCCACAGTGTCAAAGCAAAACGAGAATAAAATAAAATTACACAAATAATAAATATTTTAATATTGTTAAATATAATGTACATCATACATTATAGTCGTATTGTTCATGTGCTATATGTTTTGTTGTTATTGCTCCTCCGACTCCAACCCCCTTTAAATATAGTAAAATATACTTCAACACGATTTATTGCATTGAACATTAAGAACTATTACCCGTTGTATTTCAATTGTAATTCAAACACTGTTACGACTATTATAAGCTGTCTATATTCAATTTATGTTTATCCACTGGTCACCAAGCGTAAAACCTCGAAAACGATGTGGTAACACAGTTACTACATGGTCTACATAGGTTCTTTTACACTTTGTGGTACCCCTATTTATTTATTTACACTAGCACAACAAGTGTATTACATGTATGTATACAACATGTATTTTTTTAAGTACAAAAATGTATCTTATTTTTATAACAATAAATTATTATTTACAATATTATTGTAAATTTTAATTTATTATTATAATTTTATCAAATTGTATCTATAGGTTTAGTGCCAATTTATTATTTAACAAATATTGTTTTTGTAATTTTGCATGTAAAATATATCTTAACTGTCTATCTCCGACACAAGCATGCCTGAAGGAAATAGATAAACCGCTAAAATTCTTATACCTATACGATTTTAATTAATAATGTATATATTTTGTTTTTCGATACAATAAAATAAAAATTATTATTTAATACTTTGTATGTATGTAATATTTACTTTGTAAATGTTTTTAAATCATTTAAAAATATTCTGACAAAGTAAACCCGTTCATTGAAAAATTGTTTGAAAGTATATAAAAATATGAAATTGTTGTAGTTAGATTCGGAAAACAATGTAAAGTGCATGACAATCCTAGTCTTAGTAATAATATAATATAGACCGTCCAGAATTGCTCAGAATCGTTTTTCGTGAGCAATGATTTATCTTTAAATTCAAATTTAACATAAAATCCATTACAGTGACCCACCCCGCACTCGACACATAGGTACTAACTGTACGGAAGAGCCGTACCCATTTCCTCACCTTTTTTATTTATTATTATTCGTGCAAGAGATCTTTCCAAATTAAAATTTTCTTATTTTTTACGAAATTTGTAACGCAGTCGTTTTTAACACGTGTTAAATACTCATTTATGTAGGTATGGAATACTCGAATATCTCGTCGCATATTTCAGTAGCCACCAATAATATTATAAATATTTTTTATATATTTCAATAATATTTTTTTAGATTCTGAGTGGAACGATGAATGTATTGATTTTACAATGATGTGTGTTTTTATATTTTTTTATATTTTTTATTTTTGTGTCTGTGTACACGATAAGTAGTCTAAATAATGCTTCGATTTTCGACTTCAGTATCTTGTTCGATTGGAAAGTGAATATCGTTGGGTGCTTTGAGGAGGTCAAAATTTAAAATTCCCAATAGTTTTCACAAACGAAGGGAAAAACAACATAAAAATTAAGGAAAAACGGGAATTTTTACCCAAAATCAGTTTTTGACAAAATCGAATTTAGTTTTTGGTGTAACTTTAAAACAAATGACCGTAGATACATGAAATTTTCACTAGTTGTTTATATTTGCATTTTATATACACGATAACGTTTTCAAAATATTTTGATTTATTTTGAACTGTTTAGGGACATTTTCATTTTCCATCTTTTTTTAGTTTTTTTTCTAAAAATATCAATAAAATTTTATTTGTTGGTTGCGAAAGCTTGAAAATTTAATAGAAGGCTTCTTATATATTGTTTCAAAGGCAGATGAAAAATATTAAAAATCCTTAGTCACAATTTTTTTTTATAAGCATTTAAAGTTCAAAAATTGTAAAAATATGGAAAAATCACGAAAATTAGCAAATTATGAATTTGATTTTAGAATTCATAAATATTTTTCTTTTTAAATCTAAGATTTTAAAATGTGATACAAGATTCCTTATAAGATTATCTACTTTTATCAAGAAAGTCTATAAGAAAGTCAAATTAAATTTTTATGAGGGTTTGAAATTCAAATTTTTACAATATTGGATATTCACTCGATTTCTCATGTAGCGATTTCCTTAATTTGTTGTAATTCAAAAACGAATAACTGTAGATACATGAAAATTTCACTGAATGTTTATATTAGCATTTCCTATACACAATACAAGTTTGAAAATATTTTGACTCTTTTTGAGCTGTTTACGGAGATTTTCAGATTTAAATTTTTTTAGTTTTTATTTCTAAAATAATTTCTAAAATATCAATAATGTTTTATCTGTTGTGCCAAATGTGTAAAAATGTAATACAAGGCACCTGATATATTACTACAATATCAGTTGAAAAATATTAAAAATACATTGGCACAATTTATTTTTATAAGCACTTAAAGATCGAATTTTGACAAAATTTATCAAATTTAAAATTGAATAATTATTTTGTAGTTAAAAATTTATAAAATGTTCAACTTTTATATCTAAGGATGGAAAGTTTAAAACAATATTCCACGAAAGTAGTTAATTCTGTTACCAAAAAATCTAAAAAATACATAAGCACAGTTTATTTTTATAGTCATTTTAAGTTGAAATTTGGATGAAATTACATAAAAAAAACCTAGAATAACTATTTTAGTTATTTCTTTGGTTCGTGATTGTATAATATTATTCGTTGGTACTTGAATTTGCTAAAGTACACTATTATATATCTATGATAGTATTAGTTTTTGTTGTTGATGCGTATAACGCGTTATAAGTACCTAATGGATATTGTGATATGATTAATTTAGAATTTATTATAAGTACCTAAAATATATCAATTTTTTTTAATACCACACATAAGTATATAATATGCCTTATACCTAGACTGACATCAATCCTTTTCCTTATACAATGATATTATATTATTGAATTCAATTTAATATTATCCATGATACAGTAACCCACTTGTAAGTTGTAACCTACGGTGCTCTGTACAGCAGAGCACCTTTTTTATATTATTAATTAATAAATTTCCTTTTTTTTGCATACTTTGTTGCTTTTATTGCATATTGTTAGCGAAATAAAATCTCAACACTACTAATTACTATTCTTAAATGACGGAGACTTCACTATGTGTTGATAGATCCCCCACCCATATATTTTTTTTCAATTTATTATTTAGTATATTCTATAATGAATTAAATGATGTCCAATTTTTTTTCTAAATACAAAATATTATCAATTATTGTAATTTCTACATTTCTACAAAATGTCAGAATATGTTTGTACGTGTCTATATGATATACATGTATATATAAGTATATAGACTCATATCTAGGACCTAGGATATTTTTATTATTATTAATATTTAGTTGTTTACACAAAATATAATATGGGAATTACCCCACTTGATGATCGAGAATTTTCAATAACAACCAGCTCTACACTTTCCCAGAACATTGGCCCATACAGGCCCATATTGGCCAATGGTATATTTTTTAATAATACGTAGCTCAAGCAGACCAGCCCCAGGTCATTATTTGTTGGAAAACTTGAAACATTGATTGCTTATTATTTGTCATAACTCATAATAAACTGTAGCCCCACCTGATGTTACATGAAAAGTAATGATGTCCCAACACCCCCATATTATATATTCACATAAGACCATAAAAAGTGGATGTCGCTCTGCTGCACCGTAGGTTACAAGTTGGTAACTGTATAATGGGTTGTTTTAAATTTGAATTCAATGATATCATATCATTGTATACGAAAATGTGAGTGCCTTTGTACTCACGAATGATGTGTAAACATCTTAGCTGTAGTACGACTTTGATTGGGGAATATAATGTCATGGTTTGAGTGGGAATTTGTATAATACATATTATACGATACAAACACGGTTTCGCGCGTATACGTAAACGAGAATAATAAATAATATTAATAATAATAATGAATCGTCTGACGACTGTACCAGAGCGCGTTCGCACCTACCAGACTCGTGAAAATAACAAAGAAAATAATAGATAAGCAACTCGCCTGGTTTATTGGTTCTGCGATTTTAGCGCTATGGCGACGACACACACACATACTCAAACAGTCACATCTACATGACTTACGCCTGACGCTCGATTCCCCAAGAAGGTCGTACTACAAACCGAAAGCACAGATGATTACACATCAAAAAATTAAACAAAAGAAAATTTTAACTACCCTAATTTCATTTTTTACAATAATAGTATACTATATACAGCTGTGGTAAACAAAATAAAATCGCCGTGACTATATAATATTAGTTTATATTACTCTCAAAAGCGTCGTGAAAATAATTGAGCAAATATTTTTTAAACACTATAATTAGTATAAATATCACATTAATAATATTTAATTACAAATATATACATGTAGCAATTTCCTTGTATTACATTTTAAAACCTTAGATTTAAACAGAAATTTTTTTACGCATTTTCACATTACAAAAATTTTTCCATATTTTTTCAATTTTTGAACTTTAAATGCTTATAAAAAAAATGTGACTAGTAGGAGCCTTGTATTAAATTGACAAGCTTTTTTAAAAAATAAATAAAATTTTATTGATATTTTTAGAAAAAAAAAAAGGTGGGCAAGTGGGTGTCGCTCTGCTGTACAGTAGGTTACAAGTGGGTCACTGTATAATGGATGATATTAAATTTGAATTCAACGATATAATATCATTGTATAAGAAAAACGATTCTGAGCGGAGACGGTATGTCAGTCTATGTATAAGACACATTATATACATATCTATGGTATTAAACAAAAAATTGACCTATAATAGGTACCTACCTATAATAAATTCCAAATTAATCATATCACAATATCCATTAGATACTTATAACGCTTTATAAATCAACAAAAACCGTGATACTATCATAGATATATAATAGTACACTTTAGAAGTTTCAAGTACCCACGAATAATATTATTCAATCACAACAAAATAACTAAAATAGTTATTCTAGGTTTTTTAATATGTAATTTCGTCCAAAT